AGGGCTGCAGCTAGTAAAGGTTGCAAGCCTTGGCTGATTGGGGAAGGCAGCCACAGCTGGGGCCACTCCCCAATCAGACTGTAGCTGGCCTTATAAAAGCCAGGGATGTTAGGAGCTAAGTGAGTCTCTCTCTAGCTTGCTGAGGGAGAAGGGTCTGGCTGCTGGGGAGCTAAACAAAGTACCCAAAATGGAGCAGGGCTGGGGGAAGGCTAGAGGAGCTGGGGGAGCCTGGAAACCCCCCAGGCTGCAGGCCTTGTTAAAGGCCAGAAAGGGAACTGGGGTTGCAGAGGGGCAGCCCAAGGGTAGGCAGAGGTAGCAGGTCCAACCCCCCTTCCCGGTGATGAGTGGCATTTACACTGCAGTCTGCCCCAGTGAATGGGAGGGCTAGATCAAGACTGGCAGTCGCTATAGTCTGAGGTGAGATGGTAATAGAGGGTGGGGGTTCCCTGGGGAGATCCAGATCTGTGGGGGTACTGCCAGGGGGCAGCACCCTGGCCTGAAAGGAGCACTGGGGTCCAGGAAGGACTCAGGCCCAGCAGAACAGCGGGATACCGGCCTGCAGAGGGTGCTCTGGAGACTGGAAACACTAATTCCCTGGACGACCAGCAGGAGGCGCTGCAGCGGTGAGTCCCGCCCCATGACAGTTTTTAAGTCCAGGATTTGCTGGTGGAGAGTCTTTTGTGCTTCAATTTGAGCCTGTTTCTGGGCCTCAAGTTCTTTGTCTTTTTTCTTCTTGGCAATTTGTAACTTGTGCAGTTCTAGCTTCTTCTGAGCTTCACTCTCCCCTATTTTGCTGATTTTTCTGCCTCTATTTCTCTTACCTGAAATAAGCAAACAGAAAATAACGAACCAGTAACCACTTTATCTGTTCTCCAGCCACCACACTTAACTCATTTAAAATCACTACCAGTATCTCAAAGCAATCAGCTGTGCACAGATCCTGCCGACTACGCCACTATGACAGGTTGGGTCACAGAGGCCTCCTTGGGACTTCCACCTGATGTGCTGAGACTACCTCTGAGCCCATTTTTCCTGCCAGCTTGGGACTCCAGAACCCTGTTTTGTTGAGCCAGACATACTAGCCTGCTGCAAACACAGACCCAGGTCTGAACCACGTCCCCCAAAGCTGCAGGCTTTAACTGAAAACCACTTAGCAGGCACTCCTGTCTCCAGCATCCAGATACCCAGTTCCCAATGGGGTCCAAACCCCAAATAAATGCTTTTTACTCTGTATAAAGCTTATGAGCTTACCCTGTACAAATTGTCCACCCTCTATAACACTGATAGAGATATGCACAGCTGTTTGCTCCCTCAGGAATTAGTCATTAACTCTGGGTTCAGTAATAAGCAAAAAGTGATTTTTATTAAGTATAACAAGTAGGATTTAAGTGGTTCCAAGTAATAACAGACAGAACAAAGTAAGTTACCAATCAAAAGAAAAAGAAAACACGCAAGTCTAAGCCTAATACAGTAAGAAACTGAATGCAGGTAAATCTCCCACTCAGAGATGTTCCAATAGTCTTCTTTCACAGACTAGACTCCTTCCTAGTCTGAGTCCAGCAATCACTCACACCCCCGTAGTTACTGTCCTTTGTTCCAGTTTCTTTCAGGCACC